ACTTCAGAAATGACAAATATTTCTTCTGTAAAAGTTGCTTGATAACCTCTTCTGAAGGCAGACTTATATATTGATATTCTTACTTTATCTCCTACTTGGTATTTAGGTTTATGTATGACCTTTTCTTTAAACAAATTGTGATACACATCACCACTGTTTTCTTTTAGACTGGCTTCAACAGGTGTCATTTTGATACTTCTGTGGTAGGAATTGTTATAATTTTTTACTAACTGACTCAATACATCTATGTATCTTTTTGTATTGTTTGCTGCTAAATATTTTCTAATTTTACCGTTTAAAGTTCTGTTGAACCTTTCCACTATGGAGCACTTGATTTCGACATTTTCAGTAGTAAACCAGTGAATATTATTCTCTTTAAACAGTTGTTGCGTCTCTTTGTTAATGAACTCGGTCCCCTTGTCTGTCTGAATTTTTTGAGGAATTCTTTCCTTAAAGATCTTTTTAAACGCTATAGTAACTTCTTCTCCCGTTTTTCTGCGAACTGGTATAGCCCAAGCATATTTGCTAAAAATGTCTATGACTGTTAGTAAGTAGTTGTTACCATCATTAGAACTTGATAATGGTTTTAAAAATAGCAAGTCTGCTTGCCATTGGTCGTCAATGTGTGATACGTAAGTTCTCCTTCTTTTGAATTTACGGATAAGTGGTTTGTGTTTGGTATAAACATCTTGCTGGTGTAAGAACTCTTCGATATCCTTTCTAGGAACATGCACCTTCCTCTGAAGCTCCTTGATGCCGCAATATCCAGTTTCAGGATCATAGTACACATCTCTCAGTCTAGGGGTGTTCTGAGTTACCCCGTCAACTTTAAAAAAGAACTTTTCCTTGATCCACACTTTTCACACTTTCCTTTCATAATAGGCCTTCCGTTGCTTGTTACCGAATTTTCAACATTTAGTGTACCTGTCTTCTTTTTACAAATCAAGCAATATGTCACAATAGCACCTAGTCCAAAAACTCTTTTGGTTTTTATGATAGGTCGGATGATAGCCCTAGCTTGTTTTTCTCCGAGTGGATAAAATCCGCTGTTTGGGTTTTCAATGGCATCTAAATCCTTTAAAAGCTCTTCATCTGCAACATGTCTCTGTCTAGTGTCTTTTGTTTGACTGTATGCTATGTCATGCTTCTTACATGCTTTATCTACTCTGTTAACTCCTGGATCCCCTCTAGTCAATCTTTTAGAAAGCTTTGTAAAAGGTCCACAGTACTGATAACCAGGAAGATGCATTTCTGGTGGATTGAGCTTATCTTGCATCCAACCGACTAAATCTCCACCTTTAATCTTTCTATCTTGTTTGCTCATTTATTAAGAATAGAAAATTATTTTTCGTACCCGTTCAAACCTTTCTCCTTTAAATATTTTTCCATGGGGAAGTACTTCAAGTCCTTAATAAATTCTTGCTCTTTAATCAAAGCTTCCTCCTCCGAAATAGTCTTTGCTCTCAAGCAATTTAGTAAAGACTTATAAAACTTGTAGGCAAACTTGTATTCTTCTTTCCTTTCTGCGACATGCAAGGATTTATCAATAATCTCTATGACACTGGCCACGATGCTCAAGGATGCTAAGGGAAGCAGAGCGAAAGCTGTCAAACTCGAAGTACCAAACAAGAACTTCGCAATTGTCAGAGACAGACTAACATCACTGTAGAATTTGTAGCTTTTTCTGTATGCGTACAAGCATGACTCTAATTTTTGTTCCATGTTTTATTTAAAGAAGAAAAACATTTCCTATACCTCATTTCAGGGTTAACTAAATCAAGCATGAAAAAATCATGAGGTTTCGTGACACACTTTTTGTACATACTATCGAACTCCTCGCTGGTGAGACTACCATCGATTTCCCTCAGGATTTGTTTAACCTCTCTTGGTTGGAGTCTAAAGAAGATAAAGTAGTTACAGTTCTTGCGTATGTTGATGGGTGTTGAGTAATATGATTGAGATATATAGATGATGGACGCATTTTTCTTCCTACCTCTTATGAATAGGTCCTCTATGACTTTTTGCTTCTTTTCTGTCACGCAGTCATCGAATACAACTAGATTCTTAACGTTAGGATCAAGTTCATCTACTGTTATAAAATCGCCCAACTCTGACGTGAATAATGTTTCCTTCTTGAATTTGTGAAACATTTCTAAAACTTTTTCTTTATCAACCTTCTTAACTTTTTTAAGGCTAAGAATATCATCTTCCTCTATATCATTAAACTGCGTGTATGTTTCTTGTAGAGATGAATACTTGGGCTCAAAGATGTCTTTAGCACATACGTAGAGATTGTCAAACTTCAACCAATCATAGATGAAGTTAAGAAGCAAGTTTGTCTTACCACACCCTGAAGGTCCGGTGATTAAAAGTCTGAAGGGATGTTTGGGTAGCAAAGGATGCTGATCAGCATATGCAAACTCTTCAGGTTGCGTGTAATTCTTTATTCGAATCATATCTTTATTTAAGGTGAAAATATTTGCTTTAAGGCAAAAAATATTTACTTTAAGGCAAAAACATTTACTTTAAGGCAAAACTTTATTTGCTAAGTAATAAAGATGAATCAATTAGAAAAGGAACGCATTGAAAAGATAAAGGGGCAGATACTAGCCCAAAAAAGATTGGGTGAGTTACAAAAAGATCTTAGAAGAAAAAACGAGCAGCAGCTTCAAGAAAAATTAGGTGTTCGAGAAATGTTAACAGAGTTTCATAAGCCTGTGACAGAAGAGATGACTAAGCAGGAAGTATCTAGAAACAAACACCTTAAAGCTGTTCAGGATGCAATACAGGAAATATCCTCTCCATCGTTAGAGTCCACAACAATTCCAGAATTGGATTATGGAATAAAAGATTTGGAGCGCAGGATTTATAATTTAAACTTAAATAAGGATATCGACGAGTCTTTCATTCGGGAAGAGGGTTTTGAACTACCATCGGAATTAGTGAACAAAAGTGAGGGCGAGCTGAATGAAATCATAAAACGCGCCAACGACAGAAATAAAGAATTCGGAACTAGAAAAGGGCCTATGAAAAAAGAATGGAAGAACAGTGCAGAAGATAATGAAGATAGGAAAAAATATTTAAGAAAAGAGTTGGACAAGTTCGACTACAAAATTCAAATGATGAGGAACTATACAAAAGCACTCAAAACACTCAGGGATGGAAATTATTATTCAGGCGAGGGTATCGATAGGGTGGAGCTGCTTTCGCGACTGACGGATAAAAGATGTGGAGGGAATAAAAGTAAAACGCTCTACAATAAAATCGTTACTCTGTTGGATGCGCTTTTGAAAAAGGGTGAGCTAACTAATGATTTTGTAAAAAGCTACTACGCAAAGTTTTTGAGCTAACTAAAATTTTCTCTACATATAATAAATGAGTAACTACATTAAAATAAAAGTGCATCTGACTGATCATCAGATCAACAAGTTAAAGACTGCACACAAGAAAAAAGAGGAGGTCACTCTACAGATCAATACCTCCAAGGCGCCAAATCATGATCTATATCTTACACAAACACAGATCGAGCAACTAAAGAAGGGCAAACGCATAAAGATCAGCAAAACACAACTGGAGACAAATGGTGGATTCTTGCCTTTTCTTCTTCCCATTCTTACTACTTTAGCTACCGGTGCTCTTTCGGGGGCAGCTGGATGGGGAGCCAAAAAGATTATGGATAAAGTGAGCGGATCCGGTTGCGGGGGAAAGAAAAAAAAAGGGGAAAGGCGTTCTACAAAACTGGGAATCTCGAACAAAATGATTGAGGAATGCATGAATGGTGAGAGAGGATTTCGTGGCGTCTTCACATCAGACTTGCTACCCAAAAAGATGAGAAAGTTTGAAAGTGGAATTATTAATTTAGACTTGTCGACAGGGCCTGGAACACATTGGGTGGCTTACTACAACGATCCAAAAAATAATTTTGTAGAATATTTTGATTCATTCGGAGACTACAAATATAAAGGTACTACTTTAAAGGATGACACTATCCCGGCAAACATATTTCATTACCTGAGAACATCAAACAAAGAAGTTCGGTACAATTCAAGCTTCCTGCAGAAACCCACATCTGAGCGTTGTGGCTACTTCAGTATGACATACATAAAAAAGAGAAATAGAGGACACCCTCCTTGGGACATCTTATACTCCCTAACTCAAGAACCAAGTGATCATAATGAGAAGAAAGTGCTACTTTAATGAAACATGTGTGTTATTTTAATAGGTAAAAAAAAATAAAATGCTTATAATAAAATGACTCTGCTTATATTAAACTCAAAAGACTACCCGAAGTCAGAAGACTTTACTGTCGAATACGCTACGCCTCTGAGAATCAAGAGGGTTGCTTTGCAATCATTTTCCTTATGGGTTTCATGGTACAACATTTGCAAGGCCTATGAGAACAACATGCTTTCATTCTATGATGGAAGCCTTTGGTATGATCTAACTATTCCGGATGGAAATTATACTCTGGGGGAGCTAAACGATTACGATTACATGATGCAGTACTTCAAGGACGAAAGTCCTCCCATACAGTTTGGCGTGATATTCGCTCGACAGAGATTTGTGATAAAACTGAAAGAACACTACAAGCTTGATTTATCAAAGAGTAAGCTTCATGAGATTTTAGGATTTGAACCAAAGATTTACGATTACGAAGAAGTGAAACAAGAAGCCAAGTATGTGGCTAATATTTCTCGAAGCATCGATGATATTCATATCCATTGTGATATAATAGAGGGAGCTTATTTGAACCAATTTGCATCAGAAGTTATCCATTCTTTCACACCGGCTCAAGAGCCAGGCAGTTTGCTCTCTAAAGATTTTGACAGACCTATCTTTTTTTAAGACAAAGAGTAACCACATATATAGGATCAGGATGCGTCTGACCAATCAGGATGGTGAACCTATTGAGCTCAATAATCAAAGGGTACTTTACAGGTTGCTGGTGGAGTGAAGAAAATTTTTGTACTTACAATAAATGAACAGACATAGACTTTACGGAGCAAGCAAGAGGATACAAGGGCGAGGTTTCTTTGGGAGAAAGCTTTTGAACCTAGCTAAGAAAGAGGTTGAACAAGAGGTGCAGCAAGCAGTGAATAGTAAATTGGAGTCAATCCTTAATAAAACGATTAAAAGAGGCACAGGTTTAAAAGTAGTGAACGAAGCTAAATTAGAAGCTATCCTTGGAAAGAATATGAAGCGAAAATAATTTTACTGCATATAATAAAGATGAACAATATTTGGGAGTTGAAACAAACGTCAGAAGACGTCATCAGAGATATAGAAAGTTTTGAGTATAGAGAAATCAAAGAAACGCACAACACTCAAGATACGAGTGAAGATGCCACGTATAACTTTCACATACTCGATACAAACGCTAAAATTCTCTACTCCAAAGGATATATTCACCAAGAACTCAGAGTCCTAAAAGCAAATGGAGATTCTGTAGGGGAAGAGAACGTGACATTGGTGAATGGTGGAGGTTTACTCAGGAGAAGTATCATGACCATCGGTGCCTACGAGATAGATTCAGATGTGCATGACACATCCTTGATGTTACAGGTTATGGGTTTAATTAACTTCACACCTGATTATGCAACTTCGGAAGCGACCAATATGTTTTACTATATAGATACCTCCGATTCTACCGAGAGAGGATCGTTCAAGTTTAACGGTGCCCTTACCGACGCTACAACAATAACAAATTTTTTCGCACTAACTTAAGAGTGAATGATGACCATAACGAAGGTTTTACCAAAAGATGGATGTATACCCGAGATAGTCAGTCTGTGCACATATTTATACCGCTCAAATACATTTTTTCGGCTTCCTCAATGATTATGAAAAAGTCATTACAGGCTTTGATGTAAAATTTCAGTTTCAAAGAAAAGAAACAGTCACAGGAACATGTTGTATACAAATGTACCTAATCCTAAATATAAAGTACAAGTCAAGAAACTTTCGCTTTGGCTACCTTATGTTAAATTCAATTCTTCTGTTGATGGTCAGTTTACAAAACTGATTCTGTCGGACCAATCCATCGACATTAACTGGAGGCAACCTAGAGTAGTCAAGTCCAACATTTTAGAAAATAGCAGCGGATCATGCAACATACCCGCCACTACTGATGAAGTGATGAGCCTTTACGTTGTGCCCCAATATGATAAAAGAAACGAAAACTTTTCTCAAAACAACATGCTGTTCGATAACTTAAACATGATTGATTGCTGGCTTATGGTCAATAACGTGAGGGTGCCAAACATCAATTATACTATGGACTTTGAGAAAAAAGATTATTCGAGACTCTACGCCGCTCTCTTAGATGCAGGGCTTAACAATATCACTTCCGAAGCCGGATGTCTGATCAACTATGAAACCTTTAGAAGTCTCTATCCAATCATATGCTTCAACTTATCTTTTCACGAGCCGTACGTAAATGTTAGCAACCTGATGATTGAATTTCACTGGAGACTGAAGAGCAGCCCTGATGATAAGTATGTATTTTACTTTGTTTTGAATGAGAGAAAGAGATGCAAACTCAATATGGTAGAAAAGAAGATCATAGTGTTGAATACTTTAAGGATGTAATATTTAGAGATTATTTTTTAGATTTTAATAGATTACAATCTATTAAAAACTTATTTATATAATAATAAAGATGGCTTGGTATCCTTTTGGAATATACTATCCCAGAAAAGCGGTGGGTCTTCGCGGTCCACCTGGAATAGGGTTTAAACTCACAAACGATGGGAATTATGATATGGAAAACAAGGTGCTGAAAAACTGTAAAGATCCAGTAGACGCCAACGATGTCACCACGAAGTCCTTCGTTTCCGGAGAATTGGAGGATTTAAAGCTGGAAATTAGGACACTTTATGATGTTATGACCAACAGAATAGAGGAATTAAAGCTGGAAGCTAGGAGAAGTAATGATGCTATGGTAAACAGCTTTAAAAATTATTCGTCAGAGACTTCGAAGAAGCTTAAAAGCTTGGAAATAGGATTCAAGCATACTGAAGAAAAATTACAGGAATATACTCAAAGTGTTTATGTATGCGCAGATCCTCCTGAAAGCGGGTACAGCAGCTCAAAATTTCAGAAGGTGACATTTACTTCGTTCAGTAATAATTTACTGAATGGAGCACTCATGACATTGAATGAAAGTGTAAAGGCTAAAATAACCTTCTTCGCACTCATAGATAATAATGGTACTTATCTTGAAAGTGTGGTTGAAGCTCAAATTTTTAACGGTAATAAGATGCTGCGGGAGTTCAATTATAACACCGAACAGGTATCATTTATAAACTATATTAAGAAAGATAAAGAGATACAAGTATTCGTTAAGACTAAGGACCTAAAAACTTATGTATACTTGAAAGTAGAAATTCTTTTGTGTTTATAATAAATGGCTGACGTAAATTGGAACGATATTTCGAAGACCGGTTTGTTGGAAGGACAAATCAGGGCATTACAACAGAATATAAGTTGGTCGCTCGTGAGTCGATACTCGACTCTTTCGGAGGAGTTCATCGAAGAATTCTCAAATCAGGTGAACTGGAAGGTCATTTGTCAGTATCAGACGTTATCAGAACCATTTATAGAAAAACATGAAGGTTTAGTTGAATGGTATGAAATCTCCAAATACCAGAAATTGTCGGAACCCTTCATGGACAAATATGCCTATAGTTTAGACTGGGAACAAGCTTGCAGGTACCAAAAGATGACAGAACCTTTCCTCGATAAACATATAACAAAAGTGCATTGGATAACAGTTTCCCACTACCAAGTACTGAGCATAGACTTCATGCGGAAGCACAAAGACTATATCGATATGGTTCTTATCTCTTCCCAACAAACACTCACTGAAGATTTCATGAGGGAATTCGCAGAACAGCTGGAATGGGAACGAATTGTCAGATATCAAACCTTTAGCGAAGAGTTTATCTTAGAACACCAGGATAAGATAGACTTTTGTCATCTGATGACTTATAAACACCATTTACTATCGAATGCCTTTTACGAGATGCACTATAAAAAACTGATTTGCATCCTTCTAACTAACATATGCAACAGAAATTTATATAGATATAGCAGCGAAAATGAACCTTAAACCTAGTAATTTTTTAATGCTGTGTAGCATTAAAAATAAAATAACTACCCGCAATTTGTTATGATCGTGTTTCCGTTTTCAACGTCCCGCGTGGGGAAAAAAAAATCGAAGCGAACGCTGATGAAATGACCTTGGAGTGAAACGTGTTCCTAGCTTGAGGAAATGATAAGTGCTTTTTTTTTTTTTTTTATTCTATCGTATACGTCACGACCTTGACTGCGTCTAAATGCGTAGTATTAGAAAGTGACAACAGATGGCAGCACTTCACAAAACATGTTTGATATGTTACATTTATAAGACAGTTAGCAATTATTGAATACGGGTACCCTGGCTGAACGGTTAGCGCGCAGGACTACTAACATCAAAGTCCCAAGTTCAAACCCCGACCTCTCCCGGATTGATGTCATTCAATCCGGATTGATGGTCTTAACCTAGCCAAAAAGACATGTCAGCTTACTCTCGCCGTTGAACCAATAGAGTAGCATTCACCGTTATTCATAAGTGGGATCCCCGACGCTAAAGCGTCAGAGTCTTACAGTGTATGTCCTCTATGTTGTCCTATATATGTTGTATATATGTCCTATATATGTTGTATATATGTATGTCCTATATATGTTGTGTAGAGGTGGCCTGTGAGCCCTGTGAGTCCAGTCAGACCACAACTCCAGGTGAAGGGCGCTGCGCCCTCCACTGAGAAAAAGTTGGAGGGCGCTGCGCCCTCCAACCTCTACATTGGGAAAAAGTATGATAGCTTATCTTATCATGATGGTAAGGCCGTCTATATTTACTGTGTATGTGCGTGTTGTAATGGCTGTTCGCTCAAAGTTTAGTCCAATGGGGGAGAGTGTCCGCGGGGGTCCTTCGGTCATGCTTGCGGGGCCTTCCTGGCTTTGTTCTCGGTAACCTCGGCGAGCGAGTCCTTGGTATCGTTGGTGAGTGTCATCATAGTTAATTACTACAGCTTATGAATATACTGATCTCAGAGTCATTTCAAACGAAGGTTTCGTAAAATTTCGAGGGGTCTGATGAAACCTAGTGAATATTAAAAACATTTAAAGAGATGCATTCTATATGTAAAGATGGCAAATATTTATGACTTATTCGGTGATATTAGAGCTTTATATAGCTCAGGTAATAACAGCAGAATGTGCGGCCTTGCTAGAATGTGTCAGCATTTACTGACTGCTGTTGAAGAAGAAACAGATATGAATAATAATTATCCTGAAATTCATTCGCTAATTTTAAAATATATTATTCAAATGTATCAAATACTACACGAAGAAAAGAATAGTAAGGTACAGAATATGGGTTATGACACTCTATCAAAAATGACCAGATTTCTTTTGTGTAACTAAGCCTACTTTATTTTTTAATGACTCTAAAACCATTAAAAAAAAAGTTATTGCTCAAATTTAAACATGTTTCCAGGTTGGGCTTTCCCGACATCTTTACTTCCTAAATAAACAAAATAAAGAGGTTTAATGCCATTGAGCTTTAAATAATCAGATGCTTTGTTATCACATCGCTTCGGTAAAGATACAACACACTCAGGTAAATGGACTATTATTTTTTACCATACTTTGTGTTTATTTCTCTAATTTCTGTAACCGGATACTTTTTCATTGATATTAAGTTCGCTCATTTTCTTGAACTCATTGAGAGAACTAAATGTGTTTATTTAATTCTTGTAACAATTCCATCTTTACATATAGAATCCATCTCTTTAAATGCTTTTATTATTCACTAGGTATTATTAATCAATTACCCATTGTCTCTCCTTTGACGCTCTAGAAGCCATACATAATGGTGCACTGATGGGGGTAATCTACTGTGCATAGCCAAAGAGTAAAGGCCGGGCTCATAGATCATCACCTGTTTACCATCGTGGTAAGATAGAGGTTCAGAGCAAAAGTTGGACATCAATTCAGTGTCCAACTTTTTTGCTCTATTATTTGAGCCAGAGTTGTTTTATGTTTCGGTTTTACATGTTGTTTGTAGTGCGTGTCCTCTGCCAGACAGTGAAGGCAGATATGATGACAGTGATCGTCCCCGATAAATATGAACATACGTGAAGACTGCAGAGGACGAATGCCAGTGGATTATGTGGGGGACGAATGTCCCCTTGCAAAGCAAAAGAGCATGCGATGAAGAGGAAAAGTGGCGTTTGTAAAAGCGGCGTTTTGGAAAAGTGGGTGGAATTTTATGGAGGGTTGGAGAGCCATCACATTCTAAAAGTGGGTTCGATTTTTAATGGAGGGTTGGAGAGCCATTGTTTTCTAAAAGTGGGTTCGATTTTAATGGAGGGTTTTCACACCATTGTTTTAAAAGTGGGTGGAAATTTAATGGAGGGGGTTTTCACACCATTGTTTCTAAAAGTGGGTGCGGTTTTAATGGGGGCTTTGAGAACCATTACTTTTCTAAAAGTGGGGTGGAAATTTAATTGGGTGATTTGAGAGCCATTGTTTTAAAAAAATTATATGGGGGTGAAACAGAGCCATTACATTTCTAAAAGTGGGTACTGTTTTTATGGGAGGGTAAATGGCTCTGCGCCAGCTCCGGCATATACACACTACTGCTATGCTTCTACATTTCAGTGTTCTTACATCAGTGCTTCCAAAATTGTGCTTTCATTACATATATATATTTTGTTTTAAAAAGTTACTACTTTGAGTAGCAGGAATGGGTTTGAGTAGCAGGAATACTTTGAGTAGCAGGAATTATATGACTTAAGTTAATAAGTAATAGTTTACATGCATAAATTAGAATTCTAAATACTACATTCATTGTATTTTCTGTTTCATTTAAGCATTTTTCATATCTATTTATTAAATTATAATGGTACTTTAAGAACTAACTGAATACTGCATTTATTAAACATAGCTGTTTCCATTAAAACAAAAAGTCTTAGGAAAACGTGGGAAAAACCAGAGTTTAGGAGAAAGTACATGCATTACGCTGTCTTTACAGAGAGTGCCACTTACCTTAGTTAGGAAAGTTTGGACTCATTGCACTGCTTTAGCACAATCTGAGGTTAGAATATTGCAACGAATTCTTACCATTTTGCTTCTGCATTATTTACGATCTGAACTAGAGATTAAGGACAGAGGAAAAATAAAATTCCCTCAGGTATGCCGCAGACCTAAAATTTCAACTTTTAAACACATAGAAGTCCGTGGCTTATCTACCTGAAATTACGGTAGCCATAGAATGATGAAATTTTGTATATGAGACTGTTATAACACGTAGCTGTACACCTCCCTTTTATGTTGCAATTGACTGCACATAATACATATTCGGTTACCACCTATTCCCACTCTTATCCAGCTCAATGATTATTCTTATATATTGGCATATTGCACATTTTTTTGCTTTAAAAAGGACTGAATTATGTTGTTCTTATGTTCCAGTTAAGGTTTTTATGTCTTTATTTCATATGCATGCAATAGTTGTAGAATTATCAACAATTTAAACTTTTAAGTGTTAAGCTTAATGCCACTGCCATTTGTTTCCGTTTGAAATTCTTAGTAGAATAGCAAATTAAGTTGGTTGGTGCACCATTTTCAGTGTCATTTTGCCTAGTGTGAACAAGAGTTAAGTTTCAATTTTGTGAACTAAAAGATTCGTCTTCCTGCCCACTGGCTGAATTGCTCTTTTCAGGCAGAAACTGTTATTTTAACTGCAAAAACACTTTTTTAACTGTATTTGGTGGTTTAGATTTTTCTGTGTTTGACAATTTTTAATGCAGATGCTTTTAGTTTTTATGTATATATTTTTGAATTTTTGCCTTGCCACAAAGTGAGTACTGAATTAATCGAATGCGAAATATATCATAGAGGAAATTGAAATTAGAGGAAATATTTTAAGTGCAGCAATAAATATTAAAATTTAATAGGCAGTACAAGGAAGAATTTCTCAAATACTTGATGGCTCATGGATGTAGCATGTAGGCTTTTGGAGCAGAAGATTATATGATCAAAACCAGTTTGCTTTTTTTATTGTCTGTTATATTCAAATCATCAGTCTTTGAGGATTTATTACACTCAAAATCTGTTTTACTAATCTGAGTTGTGCATCTATTTAAAAAAATAAAATAAAATAAAGCTATTTTATTTTTTTTAATTGAAATACTTTTCCGCTATAAGGTTATCTTTTTTTCCCTTTAGCACTCATTTGTTACTGCTTTTATTCAAATTTGCAATCTTTTGTGCATTAATTAGGCTCAATACTTATCTAGTCCTTATGATACTGCACACTTAGTTTTTTTTAATTAATTAATTAATTTATTTTTTATTTAAAGTATGTTCATTTTCCATCATTTTTCCTAAATTGTTTGATCTTTTTTAATTGATGTGGAAATACTTTAAAAGATTTCTGTCTTTAGGTGAATTTTTAAATCCAATTTTGATTCTTCTATTAATGAATTAATAATTTTAATAATTTTCTGTTTAATAATTTTCCCTAATAATTTTCTGTTTGTTTGTAAAGATCTGAATTTGAATCATTTCTGATGATATAATTACTGCCAAGTAAAATTTCTGAGGCCCACTAGCGGCCGAGCGGTAAAGTTCGCTGAACAATGGTAGTTCGGGTCCGAGGTTTGAATCCGCAAACGGGCTGGCTGCAATGGTTGGGGTGTTTTCGGTTTTCCCCGTGTGTAACGGTATACGAGCCAGTTTCCCTTAGAAAGTCCTCCACGAAAGGCATCTCTCCTCTTAGACAGATAGCCCTAGTGTGCTTTGCCATAATTAAATACACCAACACCAACTAAAATTTCTGCCCTACGTATAAATTTATTTATATACTTAAGGCTTGGAGAATAAATTCCATTTATTTTATTTTATATTTTGAATTCATCTTCTTCTTTTACTTTTTTTTAAAATTATTGAGTTTAATTTCATCTCCTTGATTTGAAAAATTCTCAGAACAAATAGCAAGACCTATTTTTCACTCCTGATTGCTTCATTTATTCCTGCAATTAGTCGCAGAACCAATTTAACCATCAATCCTTATGGTTACTATTATATTTAATGGCTACCATTAAATTTAGCAACTGTTTGTTAAGTAGGGCTGACGATTTATATGCATGTTGGGATTAAGTGCCTGAGACATACAAAACTGCAAACAAAAATATTTAATTTTGATACCTACTGTGAGTGTCAGTGATGCATTTATTATTTTTAAATATCGTTCTTTCTAGAAATGAATTCTGTTTAAGGAATATAAAACTATTCTTCATGAAATTAGTTCATATTAATAGGATTTTTCTAATATCTACTTCTTCTTAATTTTCTACTTCTTATCTACTTCTTCCTTAATTTTTGCTTTTAAAAATAATATTTTTGAGGAATTATGAAAAATAATGTTTTGTGTATAAATTCATTCTTTTTACAAACCTAGAGTTAATTAAAAACATACTAATAGATTTTATGTATTATATTTTATTTGACTACATATTTAATCCTAAGTATTTAATTTTTAATTATATAATTTTGATTGGCAATATTAAGAGAAAATATTTTTATTAGTTTTTAAAATTTAGTAATTAACATTAAAATTCAGAATTTTTATCACTGTTAAAATGTAAGTAACATTACACTGACATAACTTTGTCAAACAGCATGATGCACATTTTAGTGAGATTCCTTTAAAATATACATACTCGCATCTAAACTTTTTAGACGTTATTGAATGCATATTATATTGTTTTGTAGATTTGTATGCTGTTAAAATAAGTTAAAAATATGCCATTAGATTTTATATAGGTGATTTATCTCATTTGAATACACATTTAATAATAATTATATTCATTTTTCATTAAATATTTTTGATGACCATTAAAAACTTTTTTTGATTAAGAACATTTTTGATTTGAACATTAAGAAAAATATTTTTTATTAGTTTTAAAAATTTAGTAGTTAAGATTAAAATTCAGAATCTTTATCTCTGTTAAAATGTAAATAACTTTACACTGACATAACTTTGTGTAAAATAGTACGATATGTATTTTGCTGAAATTGATTTAAAATACACACACTCATTTTTCAACTTCTTAAAGGTTACTAAAGGCTTATCACAATATTTTATAGATCAGTACGCAGTTTATTTCATTGCTGGTCTATTTATTACATTATTAGTTTTTAAAACTATTTTTTTATTGTAGGCCTGCCGATATGGAAAACCCAAATGTGAGGCCTGATGCTGTTGTGGATAATCTCAGCTGTTTTGTTGAAATGCTGTGCTGACAAATACAAAAACATAAAATTGTATATGAATTTATAATGTAGTACTGAGATTGGATGAGAAAGACAATTTTATGAGGAAGCTGATTTAATCACTTTACTCTTTGACAATCTCAGTGAGTTAAAATTGTTTTTACCTGAGTGCATTCATGAATGTATGTGGTTATTTATTCTATGAAAAAAAAATCAAGTTTTCATATTAAATTTCAAATAAATATTAGGAGATCTGTTAATCTTTAAAATTTTTTAGTGGAATATGTAAATAATGTTTCATGTGTTTTACATTAAGATCTGTAAAATTAATTATTGAAATATAAAATTATCATTATTAAAAATTATATAAAAACATTATTATAAGTACTTATATGTAATATAATAATAAATATATGTATTTTTAACAGTAATAGGTAATATTAACAATAATGTAATAACAATTATATATATTATTAACAATAAAAGGTAATATTAATAACAGAAAATCTGTAACAAAAATTATAAACAATGTTATATTGGGTTGGCAAGAATATAATTTTGGTTTGCATGAATAGGTAGCGCTGTATTCATTTTGTTGTTCTTCTGACAATCTTATAATTTTTTTTCTTTTGAGATTTGGCAGCTGACACTTTTAGGTTGCTATTGAAACAAAATCCATGTATTTTATTTGAAACTATTAGTATACGGTCAGTTTTAACACCTGGTGCAGAAATAAACATTTTTAAAAATATTTTACTTCTTACTTTCTTGTACAAAGTACAGGAAGTATTGTAATCACAAAAATGTCAGGTATCATATTTCAATGACAAATCCATTTTGGCCGCTCTTGAATACATTTGAACCATGTTTTTGCATGACATCTGTACATATTGATAGAATAAAAAAAACTTTTTATCCAAAATATATTGTAAAATGGGTTTAAAATGTATTCAGCAGACATTATTTCATGACGCCTGTATGTACGTAACTCGCACAACTCAAAAACAAATAGCCTCAGAATGTTGAAATTTTGTATATCGAACTGCTATAACATGTAGTTGTGCTCTTCTCTTTCTGGTTGCAATCGGCCACACCAAAAGTATATATACTGAAAAATCGAAACTCTCCAAAATTTGTCTTCTTGACCACTGGCCAAATTGCTTGTTTTTGCATAGAAACTAATTTTAATTGTAAAAATTGTTATTTTTTAACTGTGCTGGGGGCTTTGTGTTGACGATGTTTTGAGTTTTTGTGTATTTTTGCCTTGCCATGAAGTAAGAATTGAATTAATTGAATCAGAAATACATCTCTAATGAAATAAGGAAATAAGTTTAAATGAAATGCAGCAAAAAGTGTGCATAATTTAATAGGCCATGCAAGGAAGTTGTGGTGTCCACATCAGATTTTTTATTTTCATACAGGCAAGAAAGTGACTGAGCTTCATAAAGAAATATGTGAAGTTTATGGTGTTGATTGCTTTACAGATTGCATGTGTCAAAATTGGTTTAAAAATTTTTGTTCTGAAGATTTTTGACTTGACGATGACTTAATGTTCTGACTGACGTTCTGAAGTTTGATGATGACAAAATTAATCGTAATTGAATCAAACTGTTATATAATTTTGTGACAGATAGCAGAGAGGTTAAATGTATCATGGAAAACAATTGTAAATCACATAAAATGTTTTAAAATCGTTAAAAAGCTCAATTTTTTGGATTCTTTATTAATTGAAAGATATTTAGTTAATACAATGAATCTGTATTTGAAATATGCATGTATGAATGAATCTGTATTGCATAATGCATTTCACCCCTTTTTAAAATGAATTATCACTGATGATAAAAAGTGGATTATCTACAATAACATTAATTGGAAAAGACCATGGTTCAAGCATGATGAATCGGCACAAATCATATCGAAATCTAAATTGCATGAGAAAAAGATCATGCTGTGAATTTGTTGGGACTATAAAAGTATTGTGTATTTTGAGCTGCTTTCAAGCAACCAAATGATCATCTCAGATGTTTTATGCTGACATCTTATGAAATCGGATTAAGTAATCAAAGAGAAAGAAACCAGAATAGGCAAACTGCAATGGAATCATGTTGCACCGTGACCATGTGGGGCCTCATACATCTTTAGCAACATGTACAGAATTATTGGAATTTGGTTGGAAAATGATATTGTATCTTCCTTATAGCACCAGCTTGCACCATCAGATTATCATTTATTTCAAAGTTTACAAAGCTTTGTAAATCGTCAAAAATTCAGCAATAATGATGACCTCAAATCGCACTTGGTTGAGTTTTTTGCTGATAAAGACCAGAAATTCAGTGAGTGCAGAAATCATGAAGTAACCAAAAAAGATGGCAAAAGCTCATTGAACAGAATGGAAGATATTTTTATATAGAAAAAATTAAGTTTTACTTCATACTAAAAAACCAGAATTACTTTCTTGCCAACCTGATATAATGATAAAATATTCCTTATTGTAGTATGATTATATGATAACATTATGCTAAAATAAAGCTTGGATTGTTTAATGTGACAAAAAAAAAACTGTTTCTTTTCTTTTTTCCTTTGAAAGGTATTGTTTTTACATTAGAATCATAACTGAAATTTATAAATTGATTACTGAAATGTTTTCTTTTTTTTATTAAATATTAGGTGAAGTAGTTAGCATTTAATTATGTGTTACCTATTCCAATTTCCTTTTCTGTCCCTTCCTTTGGTTTTATTGCCTATTTTATGTTATTCTAAACATTGATGGCATCAATATTTCTCATTCCTACACATATTTATATTTCATTTTTGATGAATGTGAAAGAAAAAACAAAATTGTTTGTATGGTTTGTAAATACTATAAGCTGTTTTACTAGAATGAAAATGAAGATATTGGTGCTTAATAAAATGTGTTACAGTTAAATGAAATTAAGTGGAAGAAAGCTACATCACTGCATCACTATTGAACTGCCATCATTGAACTTAATGCTAGGACATAGCACTGAAGACACAATTTTAACATTTCAAGTTATATTAAATATTTTTACTTGAAGTTGTTTTTGAGTGTATGTTTATTACATTTGAAATTTTTGATCATGTAAGTTATTTATTAGAACTATTATTATTGTTATATAAATAAAAATATTTATTAAAATAAGGAGAGTATGGCTTTTTCAATTTTATGGCATGCTCAAAAAGCATTACAAAATAGGTTTTTGGATTATTTCTGGATTGTTTAAGTTAGTATTCTTATACAAGTAAAATATTCTTTATGGCTATTGCTACTAAAAGTAAAGTATTTTTAAAGTAAAACCAGGGATAATTTTTGTATTTTCATGACATACTTTCGAAGAAAACATGTCTGTCGAGAACATGTACATGAAAACTGTCGAGTCATTAGGTTTATTTTGAAAGCAGGAGACATGAAAAATATGCAATGCCGGGACTCGAACCATGGACCTCTCGAATACGCGTTGAGCGCGCTGACCGCTACACCACAAAGGCATGCTAAGAAGGCAGGAGAAATATCTTATATACTCCCCTTTTTAAAGTGCCACTGGTGATTAGAGGACTCAGTTGCCAAACCCTGGTGGCTGAGAATCATCATCCACCACCTTTTTTTATTTCAGGCGCCGCTGTAGAGTCATTAGGTTTATTTTGAAAACAGAAGACATGAAAAAGGTACTATGCCCTCGCCGAGACTCGAACCACGGATCTTTTGAATACATGTTGAACATGCTGATCACTACACAACGAAGGCATGCTAAGAAGGTGGGAGAAATACCTTATAAATCTTTTTTGAATTCTAATTGTGATTTGCAATGTGCTATATGACAATTATTTTAAGACTTACAATCCTCTCACATACATAGGAAATTAAAGAAACTTTCTATAGTAAAACACACAGATACACACACAAATTAATAATATTGAAAGAAACTAAATAATTTTCAGCACGTATGCAACTTCCTAAACAGGAATTAAAGCTATCAAACATTTATCTCTCATAAGGGCCCAGATAGGACCCAGACCTTAAATAGGTGAAGAAATCCTTTAAATAGAGGTGTTCTTTTCATACTTATGGTGGGTCCCCCAATTAGCGTTCACTGATTTTTCTTATGATTGCCATATGATACATGATGGCATCAAATTCTCATTCCTACACCATTTGCCAAATTGTTTGATTTTGTAAATACAGCGTTTTCGAATGCTTACGTTAAATGAAGTAGAAAGCTACCATCACTGGTACTGCATGAACTTAATGCTAGGACATAGCAGAAAGCCCTTGTACTGAACTCTGAAACTTGATAGTAAGTTAATTAGAACAGGAGAGTATGGCTTCTGGCATAGCATTACCAATCACGTTAGTATTTTATAGGCTCTTTATGGCTATTGCTACTAACAGGATAATATGAGCCGAGAACAATGAAAAGTGTTTAGAAAGCAGAGACATGAACAGGGACCTCTCGAACGCGTTGAGCGCGCTCAAAGGCATGCAGGGGAGAAAATTTATTTTGTTCGAGGACTCAGAGATCAATTTTTTTTTTTAGATTTTACGCCCTCGCCGAGACTCGAACCAGGGAGATTGTTTAAAATATGAATTGTGACAATTATTTTCTACATTACATACTAGTAGAAAGAACTAAATAATTTTAAAAATTAAGGGAGACCCACCAATTGAGAAATAGAGGGGACATATAAGAGGTTTCCAAAGAGGTGGAGGTACGCGGTTCTTCTGGGAGTTTTTTTTTTTTGGGGGATGTGTTTACATTTTGATGATTTGTTAATGTTGCATCATTTTGGTACACCAGTTTCAGAAACTTCTTATGAACCATATGATACTGCCACTGCATCTGTAAACTAGAAGCTTATTATTTGTAAATTGTCATAACCACCCAGGGAAATCTTCGGATGTTAGAATGCAAGGTGAGTAATAATGCTGACAAATTATGTTTCGATTGCAGTAATTTATTTTGATTTTGGGAAGTGAAGTTAAATTTGTGTTACGTAGTATTTAAATTTTTTTTTTTTTTTTATTTTGGTATTCTTTCTTTGAATTGAATAACATTTTAATGTTTTATATTTATAACTGAGATATCATTTGGCAGTATAGAATTGTGTTATTGTTGTAGTACTGTTAAGTTAAAGGCTGAAGAAAACAGGAATTAGATAAACTTAACAACTCGTATAGGTTACAGAATGAAATTGAGATATAGAATTAGAGAGATAAATTCAGATATGAATTAGAGAAATTCTTTTTAGTGCAGTTACAAATCAAAGACAAACAACTCAGATCTATTGGCAATAGGCCTTTTAGATGATGCAGAAATCCAGTCGAAAGTATAGTGGATTGATAAATGCAATGAAGTAATTATTTTTAACTCAGTAAAACTAAAAAAGTGAAACTAAAAATCGTTGCAATCTGCAAATCATTGCAATGCAATGAAGTAATTATTTTTTACTCAGTAAAACTAAAAAGTAAAACTAAAAATTGTTGCAATCTGCAAATGTGTAGCCCCTAATAAACCAAAGTAGATCAAATACAAACGCGAAATGCCTAAAATAAAAGTTCAATTGTGTTATGGAGATCAAAGTATTTAAATTTTTGAAAATTTGATGGACAAAAATTCTTCCTTTTCAGATGGTAGAAACTTTTGTTATTTGTTTAGTTGCTTTGGAGAAACTCATTCATGCATTAAATGTTTCCCTATTACCTTAGCCAAAACGTCGTCTATTAAATTAATCCAAGCAAAAAGATGTGTTAATCTATGCCCATATGTCTAAACTACTGGACATGACCTCAATAAACAACACATCTAATTTATCAGAGTTGAGAAATTTTACAAACTAATTAGGTTAATTACTACATTATGGTGTATTTTCAATAGAATTGTCAAAGTAGCAATTTCGATAAATTGGTAAAATAGGTATTTCGCTTAGTCTCTATCATTGTGTCTTTGTTACCTTGCTGTCTTGTTATGTAAATAATCTCTAGTGGACTGCAGCTGAAGCAAACTTCTATTATATACCCCTAAAAAGGAAATGTGTAAAAACATTTCAATACGAATGAAATCTGTTTTTTCTCTCCAAGCAACAACAATATATTTAATGTTTGGCAGTGCTATTTTTGCTTCATATTACGTAAAACTTACAAATTTTTTATTAACAAACTCTACGATTTGAAAGCGAGCAGTAGCAACACATTTCGAAATAAATCCAAATTCAGATATCCACCTAGATGCAGTCATCATCGTACTGCAGGAAGCACTGAGATCAGACTCACTCATCATAGATACGGTGACCATATTTTTTCGGAGAAAATAAAGGACACTTGTAACGTGACATGAGGGGGGTTATGGTAATTTACATTCGTGCTCAATAATTTTGTGTTAGGGGTGGGGGTTTGTGCGTTCGTGTGACGTCACAAATGTTAATTTGGGGTCTTCCAAGGTGTGACAAATTGTGACATGGGGATTGGGGATGGGCAGGGTCAAAATTATCCCGCATATTGCGATCATTTATGCACAAACCGTAGAAGGAGAATGAACACAAAGATTAAAGAAACTAAGCAGTCCCTAGTTATGTGGTGGTGGTACTAAAGCGAGAAGCGAGCATTGCTCCGGCCCGACTGCGTATTTGTCAGCGTACGGCTCGGCTGGCATTTAGAAAAATACGTTGCGGGTGCTCCGATCTAGAGTTGCAGAAAACCAATTTGAGAAATTTGATTTTGCGACGATTTCTCAAAATAAAGGACAATATGATTATTTCAGGAAATAAATAAAGTTAGAGGACAGAGCCTTCAAATAAAGGACGGTCCTCTGAAATAAAGGACGTCTGGTCACCGTAATCATAGATCAAATCGTTGTTAAAACGTTTTTTGGCAAAAGAATTCTTTTCTGTGTATTGAGGAGTTACTGTTATGAATTTTAAATCAATCGTTCAATATTTTCAGTTGTTTGGTAAATATTAATAATGCAATGAGAGCTAACTCTTTGTATAAATGCTACCAATAGCAACAACACACAATAAAGTAGATTTATAATTAAAAAAATTCTTCCGCAGTAATATTATAAACCTAACATTTCAACTCAGTTAAAATGTAATTTGAATTTTTTTCAAATATGAAGCTTCAGCATAACTATAACTTGCTTGCAGAAAGAAGCGTAGTCAATCTTCTCCGTTGGAAATAACGCTGCGCTCCGAAATTTTATATCGATTCGTACTCGTCTCGCACTGCAATTTTCACTTCTTCATTACTATCAAGGAGGTTAGAATAGAAGGAGGGAGGGTTCGCGGTTTCCTCCACTATCGGGGAATGAAACTCCGCCGAACAAGCGGCGTCCATGTTTGTGACTTCAAAACATTGCATTACGGCAGTGACATGTACGTGTTTCTAACCTGTTCCGTGCATTTATTTTCCAGTAAAAATATGTTAAATTTATAATGAAATCCCTCGCTATTGTTGACTTTTTGTTTTAAAGTAATAAAGATGATATCCATAATTTACTATGTACAGCAAATTATTAAGAAATTGTTCGAAATCTAAATGCATGCGCATAACATTAAAGCCTTTAAAAAATGATGTTTCTGCATATTTCACGAACTTGCTTAGGTTAGAAAATAAATCTTAATAAAATAAAACAGATTTATGTGAATTCATTGATTTCAGTTTATGCGCATTTCATATTATTAATCTTAAAGAAAAGAAACTGCCTTTAATTAAGTTGAATTACAGAAATACACCTATATAAGTTTTTGGATACATCTTTCCACATGTTCAATTGTGTAAATATTTTACTTAATTTTATCACTATACTGCTCAGAAATTTGTAAGTTTATGCAAAAAAAATTTTCAACAACAGAACAGTTTATCTTAACTTAAAAAAATGAATAATAATTAATATATAAGAAAAGCATTGCTTTATTTAACACTTTTACAATTAATAAAAATAGTAACAATTGATTTCTTACTTTTCATGAAAGTTATAAAACGAATTAACTAAAACGTTCAAATTATACAATTTAAATCCTACCATATAGCATTGTATCTTAAGGAACGAAGAAGATACCAGCTATAAACAGAAACATTAAAATGTATTTAATATATTTTGATTATAGTTATATTAAATAACCTATTTTAAGTCCTTTTTTTCACATCTGGA